TTTGTGTGTCCTACCCTCTCTCAGAGCCTGAGGGTGTTTTTGGGAATCTCTGGTTTCCAGCTATCAGGATTTGGTGCTTTTTCTTCCTGGTCAGTAGGTGGCGACAGAGATCTTTATTAGTGTCCTTCCAGAACTGTTTCTCTTTCCTGTGGGCGGGTGGAACAGAGTGGGAGTGGCATAGAGAGCCTCAATGTCATGGGGGTTGCTGTGTCTGCCTTGTGCCCCACCATCGTTGGGATCCCAAGCCCCGAATTTTGTGCCCACGGTCTCAGTTCCAAAGCCCTCAGATCCAGGACGTGGGCTGTAGCCCAGTTCAGTGTCCGCAGAAATGGCACCTTTTGCACCCTGCTCCCAAGTCTGGGCGCCTGGTTTCTGATTACTCAGTGAGGGACATTCACCTCAATGAGAGCTCCCATGCTTCTCCCTGCAAGCCTAGGTCGCAGACGCGGGGACCTGGGCAGCCGCCATCCGTGTATGATTTTCAAGCGAGCTGCTTTTTCCCACAAGCTTACCGGCTGGCCTTGGGCTATTTGTGGGTTTCTGGGAGTTTTTGTTCTCTAATGGCGCCTGGAGCAATTTGTTCACCTCCTCAGCAATTCCTGCACTGTTCTCCACAGTTCCAGCTCACAGGGTGCGGTGCCTGAAATTGTTCCTTTCCACTCACAGTCCTGTTTGATGCGTAGTTTGTTCTTAGTTTTGCTGTTGTTGTTGTTGTTTTCCTCCTTTCTGTTGGTCAGAGTGCCGACTTTGTGGGAGGGGGAGGGTAACAGGGTTCTGAGCTTTCCTCCCTTCTAGTCTCTTTTATGGCAACTTTCTTCTTTGGGCAATTTGCCAGTCTCCCATTTCTCTCCCATGTCCCAGTTCTCACAGGGACCTGCTGCTTTTCCTCCCTATTCACTTTTTTTTTTTTTATGGGAGGTCTTACTCGCAGTGTTCCCCCGCCCTCCGCCATGTTGATTCTGTCCATAAAATGGTTTTAAAATCAACAATTTAGTGGCCCTTGCATACTCACAGTTGTGCATCCACCACCTCTACCTATTGATAGTTCAACAGTTTTTCACTACTCCAAGAAATCCTGTACCCACTAAGCAGTTTGTCCCTTTTCCTCTTAGCCCTGCACTTTTCCAATGAATTTTCTGTATTTTAAGTTATTTAAAAAATAGACATAAAAAGAATAAAATACTTGAATTCCTGCTACTGAGAATTGATCATAAACATCTTTCAGTTTTACTTGAAAAATATGAAAAACATGGCATTTTGAATGAAGCTGAAGTACCCCTTTCATCCCAACTCCAGTTCCATTCACTTTTCCCTAATCTTTAGACAATATTTTTAGTAAGTTTAGTCTACATCCTTCAACTCTTTCTCATTTATTATCTTTATATCTAAGGAAAATGTGTGGTTCTATTTTATAATTTTGTTTACTTACATGGTACTTTGTAGCTTTTTTCCACTGAATTGATTTATCTGTTGACACAGATGTTGCCCTTTCTTTGACTGCTGTGGTGTATTCTCTCACATGAAAAAACATGTTAATGTATACATTTCCCCTAGTGACGGATTTCAAGGTTATATTACTTTTCCCCCCAATACAAACACACTGTAGTGAACATCCCTATACTTGTTTAGGGCGTGATCAGATCACAAGTACATTCCCACTTTACTAGCTATTGTCAGAATGTTCTCCAAAGTGACTGTTCCAAGTTTATACTTCCACCATTTCCCCACATTTTGCCAACATTTGCTGTTAAAGTTTTCATTGTTGCTCATATGCCGGGAGACAATATCTTGTTTTGATTTGCATTTCCTGATGTTTGTCATTGTTTCATGTTTATTGGTCATTCATATTTTCTCATCTTTCCCTGTTTGTGTTCTTTCCCTGTTTTTCTCTTGGGTGTTTTTTATCTTAATTGTACATGCTCTCGTGGTTATATATGCTTTTCTTTTGTGTTCTTTTGTCAATTTTTTTTTCAATTTTGATGTAAACATACACTTTCTATTGAACTGTAAACAGTGTGTCTATTAATTATAACTTGATATTTTTAAATGGAGATTTATGTTAATTTTGTTTAATTTTTGATGTGGGGAGCTTGCCTTAGAAAGGATTTGCTTTGAACTGTTGCTGTCAGTTCAGTATACTTACTAACCACATTTTTTCACAGAAAGTATAGTGTAAATTAAACTTTTCAAAAGACACCCTGAATGAGTTGCAGATGAAAAATATGGTCCTTACTAAACTGTCATGTGAAAACAGGTGAAACTTCAAGTACCTAAGTCCAAAGGTATTTACAAATTAGAACATTTATAAATTAGACTGAATATTAAGGTTGCTTACAACACATTTACCCCCATGTAGTCCAGCAACCTAGAATTTATATATTCATTAAAAAACTGAAGTCAGAGTACTTCTTCTCTATTAAAAACTACTAAATAAATCAGTCTCCTATTTGTTTCTCTCTGGGCCAAATCCATCAAAATATACATCTAATTTGCCAGTTTCTAAACCTGACAGCTCCTATTTTTTATGAATGGGGTGTTGGTATTTCTGTTTATCTGAGCATTCTTTCTGGGAGTATTCTTTCAGCTGTATGTGACGTCTCTCTACTCAAAAGTATAATTCTTTCCTTGTTCATCAAGTGTTAATATAATTATCATAATCAAACTTTATTTCCAGTATTACTTAAACTTGAATTCCCAGCCTTCATTTAACTCCTTGGGATGACATACAGAAACCTTGTCTTTCCCTTGATTACACTTGTCACATGTATGTATACTTTAATGACAATTAACAAATATCTTAAACTATTTTTCTGTTTGATGCTGTTTTAAGCAGTTATATTGGGCACAATTACAAGACTATCTCCAAACTGTGTTGGTTTATTCCTTTTCAAAATGCTTGTTGCAATAGAACATTAAATGGTCTAACTATGTGGTAACAGGAATCCTGCTAAGGGGGATCTTCACATTTGGTCCCTAAGAAATCTGAATTACAAATAATAATTTAGCAACGATGGTAGGGCTCTGATTCTGTAAGCATTGCCACTTTACTCATCTGAATAGAAAGTGGGAGCTTTACTGATTGTAGAACTAAGGCTACCAGATGGGAGGAGAAGGGAAGGAGCCCTTAGGACCATGTAGAGGAATACTGGTGCTCTGGTGATAGGCATGGCAAGTTTAACATACATTTGAAGAGGTGTGAACCTATAGCCCTAAAACATATACAGTATTGTAATCTGTTACTTCAAAGTAATTTTTTTTTTAAGTGTGAGATTCAAAACTAATTTTCTCTCCAATATTTAGGTTGGTCACAGCAGATGTAGCTTTTTTACACTGGAAATCTTCAAGCCTTAAAAGGCCTTAAAGATTTGGACCTAAATATGGCTGATATCTGGGAACAGAAGAGGTGATATGACATACAGGAAAATTGGGTTCTTCATCTGACCATGGGATGTGTATGTTTGTGAAGAAAATATGGATGCCTGTGATTCAAGAACTGAACCTGGAACCCAAAGTTGGGTGGTGTAAGGGTAAAAGGAAAGTATCAGTGTTGGGAAACTGGGATTCAGTGGGATCTACAAGGAATGCCATTTTTGTGCTTCCTTCAGTGAGGAGTAACTGATCAGGTGTCTAACATTTTTCATTCTCTCTGGAAACAGACTCAGGTTTCTTTGGACCAAATCCAAAAGAACACATAGCTGTAACACAGCTGTAGTTGACTAGAATGCTCTGTATACTTTATATTAAAAAATGCTTTGCATTTCTTCCACTGCAATGAAATTCATATGGTGTCCCACCTTATTTAATGATGGTACAATTTAAAATATTAAAATCTTAGTCAACCTCTGTAGAAAGTTTTCTCTATGAAAGTAAAGCTGTTTGAAAAATTATTTTTTTACAGATCTTTCTATAAAAATAAACATCTTTTGATTGCTTGGATTTAGAAATTCAGTTTTTGTTTTAGTGAACAATGTCAAATTTGAGGCTTTGTGTGTCTTGTAGTCAATCTGGGGAAAGCCTTCAGAACAGTCTAAATACTTGAAAGGCTCATCACAAAGATTTTGGCATTTATTTATGCACCTTCGAATAGAAATAATTTTCAGAAGTGTTATGTGAAAGGCTATATAGGTCAATGACTATTTTTATAAAAGTATCTATGAAGCGTTGGTGAATTTTGGCAGGGGGGGAGCTTTTTAGTTCTAGCAAAGTTAAGAATACTTAATCGTGTATTCTGTCTGTTCATGAGTTCTCATTTTAACATTTAGATAACACGAAGTGTGGGCCCCTTGTGTTCTTGTTTTTAAGTTACTTTGGGTGTGTATATGAACAAAGACCAGGGAGAAACAGTACTTCTAAAATATAAGTTGCTATGTTGGGCCAGAAACACAAGATGATAAGTAGTTACTTAAAGACTTTTATAATACCTACCTTCAAGATTAGAATCAGCAGCACTCTACAAATGAAAGTGCCTGTGCCTCACTTCACACCAGGAATCTGCCTAACCCTGTCAGAGTGCCTAACCCTGTGGTGATAATGTACTATGAAACAGTCTTATTTTGTGCTCTTTGGTTTCCTAAAAGGAAAGACTGGGTGTTTTCTTTCCTTTATCATTACAGAGGTATGTCATTGGTTCTTAAACTGTCTAAAATAAAGCTGTAAAAAATTACCAGACTTTAAAAGACAACTTTTTTTTAATAGTATGCAGTAAACTTTAAGCAAGCAGCCTACCTATGCAAGTATGGAAGAAGTGGAAAATGTGATTCTTAGTGAAAAGGCACCAGTTGAACTACCAGCAGACCTGACTTAGAAGGTTGTCCATAATATTTTTCAGAGACAACAGCAAGTCTCAAGAAATGAAACATGAAAGAAAGAGAACTTTTTATAAAGATATAAACCCGCCCACTATACTAGAGAACAAGGATGTGAAAGAAATGCCCCCTACCTCAGCCTATGCCATCCCCTTCAGCTTAGAAAAGAAACACCACTTTATTTCAATAAATGGAGAGTCTGTGGAAAACATGGCAGGCATCCCAGCTTTAGAATTAGATGAAAGGTACTGAATAGCTTCAAGTTTAATTCCTATAAAAATAATGATATGGTTAAGATTCTTAGAAATGCAAAAACTGGATTTATTAGGTAATTGGGCAATGAGTACATATTTCAAGAGCAAATCTTCCAACTGATATAGTAATTTTAGCAAAAGTAAACCATTTCATTTCTCCATTTCATAAAGTTAGCATTGAAAGGTATAAGTGTACACATGTACTGCTTCACAGCTTTATTTTTGAAAACATGAGCAATTCAAAGTGACCATCATCGAGGCCTCTGTTAGATCTTCCAGCAGAGTTGCCCCAGTTTTCAGATTCAATGATATTGCACTTTAATATGAACTTTTAGGATCCTCTTCAAAGAAGAAAAATATTGCTTCCATCTGTGCTTTTCTTAAACTAAAAGCATACTGCAGAAAATTTTAAAAATTAACACTGCAGGGTACAATAACATAGTAAAGTACCTGCCTATTTTAGAACATTTCATTGTAAGAAACTAGCCCAAAATTAGTATAAAGTGCACACAGTATTTTTCCTTTCAGTGGTCCAATATACGAAGATTCCCAGATACAATCTTGTTCTCTAATACTGCTCCAGGTGGGATGTCAATTCTATCACCATGGTTTGCGATGATGATAACTGTTCCCTAAGTGGGGGTGGGGAAATAAAGGTAAGCGTATACTTGAAACTGCAGCTGAGATACAATTTATTTTATTATATTTATCAAGTTTATGTAGCATTCCATTTATAGCAAAGTAATTATAAATAATATTAAAAGTGAAAAATAATATTAAAAGTGGCGCAAGGGGTTAAGACACACCACTGTGAAGCTATCCGTGGCTACTGCAGCACGAGTTGGATCCCCGACCAGGGAGGTGATCCACATGGAGTAGCAGACCTCTGCTCACTCGCCCACAGCTTCCCTCAGCAGTGTATTTCAGTCAGTCTGCCTGTTCTGTTCCCCACTCTGTCTCTGGTGAATCCTCTCACCCTACACACTTCTGGCCTGTACCCCAGTTCTTGTATGCATAAATAAACAAATCTTTAAAAAAAATAAAATGTTAAAAAAAAGTGAAAAACAAAGAATATCTTAAAGAAAATTGTCTTTCTGTTAACAATAGGTCTTTCTGTAACAGTCCTGGCAGCAGTTCTAGATTCCTTGCTTCCTTAGCAGACAGAGGTGGTACCGAGAATAGGAAGTGGACCCAATGCCACAGCACGGTTGGTCCTTTCAAGGAACTACTTGCAAGGTCACCATCATTATCCAGCCTTCTCAAAGAAACCAAATGGTGCTTGGTTTATATTTTTATATATGTGTTTGGGTGTTTATATATATATATATATATATATATATATATATATATGTATATATATATAGACAGAGAACAGTTTACTGATATATTTTTGCATGTCTTAAGTAAGACTATTTAGATGAGGTCATATTGGCAATAAAGTTTTATATATATATTTTTTTTTCCCAAGATCTTCATTTAAGTAGTTTTAACAGGAGGCATATGACATCTAGGTATGGATTTTTTAAAAAAAATACTTGATTAGAAAGAAACTGTTGGATCTTTGGTTCTAATGCTTTAATACTTATATCCATAGCCCTTCCTCTTTGTTATGCTAGGCTGGACTAATACTCAGAGTACCCAAGTACTACAGTAATGTGAAAAAATAATCTTTATACTGATAACAGATTACTTTAACACAAATAGATTACATCCAGTGTAAATAAGTTGTCTTTTTCTCCATTCAGATCCAAATAGTCATCTTGAGTGAGAGCCAATGCTATTTTAACAACTGTCATATTTCAATAAAATTGTAGTAGTTCAATTACTAGTGTTTTCTTTCCATTTGAATGCTATATTCCACAACATTCCTATATACAACAATTATAATTGATTTTAACTGTGTTGTATATCTCTGGAAGACAGTATTAAACCTAAATAGTATGGTAAATTACTTGTTAAAAAATGTGTATAAACAACTGGTAAAGACTAAAAACTATTACTTAAATAAACATAATTAAGGACTAAAATTAAACCTGTTTTGTGAAGTGGTAATAACTTTAATTTTCATCATAGCATACCTTTAAAGAAACATTTTTGCCAAATGTCACATCTCCTGAAACTGTGAGTGTGATCCAATTCAAGCATATCTGGTATACTTTCAAATCTCCTTAGATAATCCTGAACCTGAAAAGAAAAAAAGAAACATGTAAATTGTTTCAAAAGTAGATTAATAAATCTTTGGGGAAAAAAGAGATTAACAAGATAATTTTTTAGAAAGGTTTAGTTTTTTTATGCATGCAAGAACTGGGATCTAGGCTAGAGGTATGGGGGCGGTGAGAGGATTAATCAGAGACAGATTAGGGAGAAGACAGGCAGATCTACTTAAATATACTGCTGAGGGGAACAGAAGCTGAGACAGAAGAAGTCTGCTGCACCATGTGGGTCAGCTCCCTGGCGAGGGATCGAACTCATGCTGCAGTGGCTGGCACTAGCATGACAGCGCTGAGATTTAACCCCTGTGCCACCAGGGAGGCCCACAAGATAATGGAACTGTAAAAACATTTTATATCCAAGCTCAGAGCCTTTATGAAACAAAGCTTTTTAGCACCATATAGGTAGATCCTATACAGAGAGACCAGGAGATTTTAACACTGACCCTAAAATCAAGTGATTACAATATTGCTAAGCACTTCAGACAAAAATAAATGAAGTAAAAGTGAAAAAATAACCAACCAACATGCTAAGAGACAGATGTGTAGTTCAAATAATCTGGAGTTAGTTGGAAAAAGAAAGATCATTATGGTTTAAAGCAAGCTAGACCAGAGCTGGATTTTGTAGGATAAGGAGATTTAATAAGAAAATTATATTTTGGAAAGATAACAGCACAAATTGTTTAATTTCAGGCTCTAGGAATTTTCCCATATGGCATTTACTATTTTGCTGAGAATAACAGACTAAGAAAACTGCCAACGGTTTCCACCACTTGTCTCCTAGCTCATTATTCTGTCCCTACTACTACAATTTAAGGGCAACTGTTCTGATGGCTTGTTCAAGAGAATTGTGCAGTGAATTCTCCTTTTCCCTCATGATTGCATTGATTCCCATCAACGTATAAACATGCTATAAATCCATCTTTGAAAAGCAAAGAAACCTCAAGTCTTATATAAATTGTCTATATCAACATCTCTAATTTCTATTCTCTCGTGAATCCATTCCAGTGAGGCTCCAAAATCTCTATATTGACAAACCTAATGGTGAATTCTCATTCATCTTACTTGAACTGGCAAGAACACCTGACACAAATAATCACTCCCTCTTTCTTGAAACATTTTCTTCATTTTGCCTTTCAGGACAGACACATTCATAGTTTCCTACCCAATTTCTCACCTGCAACTCCTTTGTCATCTTTGCCACATCTTCTAATTCATCCTTATCTCCCTAGACACTGGAGTACCTCAGGGGCTCCATTCTGGACTTCCAGGGAGTGCCACTCACTCCTCAGGTGGTCTTTAAGGGTTTGCAAGCCAGGTATAAACTAACAATTTTCAAATTACCAATCTCACCTGAATCTTTGTTCTGTGCTCCAGACTCTAGAGTCAACTTCTACAATAATAAGTAGAGTACCTGCAAAACTTAATTCCCAACCTTCTCCCCCAACCTACTCTATTCAAGCATGCCCTCATCTTAATATAATAACTGGCAATTCCAGGCTTTCTGGTGCACAGGCCTAAAACTTTGAGATAGCCTTACTCCTTTCTCCTTAACTTTCCCTCCTGTCTTTTCCAACAGCAAATCCTATAGGTATAACTTTCATCTCCGTTCACAGCTCTCCAATGGTAGCTTCCTTATCAGGAAAAAACCCCACTCTCAACACTCACAATGTTCTGCATAATCATTTATCCCTGCCCCCTCACCTGCTTTCTGATCAATTATCCCTACCCCCTCACCTGCTCCAGCCACACCGCTTTTTAATGTCCCCAAAATGTTCTTCCTCGGAGCAACTAGCCATTGGCCTACTCAGCCACCTCACATTGGGGCAGATAAAGTTCTTAACTCTTGTAGGGTGTGGAAGAGGCTATGAAGAATGAGAAGGAAGAGAAAGGAGAGTGACGCTGGGTAGAAAAACAATTGCCCATTCCACCTCAGGTTGTATGAAGCCAATGGGCACTTCTATGCCAGTATTTTCCTTGCCTACCAGGTTAATGAGAGAGGCACCGCAGAACAGGGAGATTCCTAAAATGCCTGATGCTGTCTTACAAGTCTCAGCCCAGTCGTAGGACCCAGAATCATCCCCCATTAATATGTAAGGCAGTACACACATCCCCACCAGATGGCACTAAACCACGACCAGAAGTAGAAGTGGATGGCTAGTAGGACCTTACAAGCCAGCCACAATGGCTCCCAAAATTCATTTCACTGAATTTTGACTAAGTTACTTGGACTCCACTTACTATGTTAGGGTTGGGTTTTACTAGCCATGCCTTCTGTCTGGAACACTTTCTGCCCAACTGGTGAACTCAATTTCTCAGTAAGGCCGTTCACTGGCCACCCCATGTAGAATTACACTACCACCTCCACCACCCCACTTACACATTCCCTATTTTTGTTTTATTTTCCATTTTATATCACTTGGCACACTGTATATTTCATTTATTTATATTACTGTCTTTCCCCACTAAGATATCCTTGAAGGTAAGAATTTTAGTCTGCTTAATTTACTGTTAAAAATATAGCATCTAAAGCACAGCACAGATCATGGAAGGGGCTCAATAAATACTTGTTAGACCAGAAAATTCTTCCACTGATGAAAGCAGTGCTGGTCTTAGAAAATACATAAAACATCCCCAGATGTAAACATTGTTCCCTATACAGTCAGGTTTTCAAAAGTGAGCCACATCTTTTTCTTCCATGGTCGATTCCCTTTTAAAAGACATCAAAGGTTAGTAGTGGAGCTGTAATTAGCCTCCAATTCACATGCCTATCATTTCTTTATAATTACACACTTAAATACAAATTCATGTATATATCACAGCTTTATAATTACATACCTTTGTAAAAGAACTTCCTAATTTAACTAAGAGCACTGTAGGAAATTCCCATTTCTCACTCATTGTCAGAGATCCTGCATTAAGGCTGTAGAGGTTTGACATCACAAGTAAAAGATCTGATGTGGTTTTGACAGGCAGAAAACGGCTCCTAGGAACATTAATACCTAGAGAGTTCTCAAAACTTTTAATGGCGGCTCCAACAGCAGTTTCTAACTGAATGACATTCAGGCCTCCATCCAAAGTCTACAGGAAAGGGATGAGGGGGGAGAGAGAAACAGGTTTTAGGTACATACAACTTAATTCCATATGGGCTGGTTAATGTTTGGGGAGTGGTTTCAGATCTATTGAAGGAAACAATTTTGAAATCTAACATTTATCAAGCACCTGTCATATGTCAGGCGCTTGAACTTTATTCAGTATCATAACTCTTTTGCTCAGTAATATTTCTACTTTACAATAAAAAAAAACAAAGATTCTGAAAATTCATGCAAAGTGCCTATAACTAAGACTGAGATATTCTTTTACTTTTCTATTCAGCCCTCTTGCCTCTGCCACAGCCCAGGGTCAAGTAAAGGCACCGTGGTTGGCATACTAAAGAGTCTTCTGACAAACAGGGCTAAAACCTGGAGAATCTGAATAGGCAAAAAGGAGAAACCAACAGAGTAGACTGGCTGGAGTGGGCAGTGGGTCTGTGTAGCCTACTATGATCTTAGGAACAAGGGAGTCAAATGGGCCAAAACTTTGACTTACCTTTGGATTAACAATGATTTCCATGTCGATAGCATTCTGCTCCTGCAGTCTTTTAACTGCTGCAAGAGAGATCCATAGATTGTTTGTGTTGAATATTTTGAATTTTGATACAGACTTGAACTCATCCACATGTGCTTTTGGCACTTGAGCAATTTCCACCAATCTCAGTTTGCCTTCATACTGAGTGAGTGTCCCACCCTAGAAAAGTATGAAAGAGTGAATATGTGCCCCCAACTTCTCCCAGTCACAACCATACCACATTGTTTGTAGTCTGTGAAAGTTAAAAGAAAAGAAACTAAAGATGAAATCCTCCAGAAATTAGCATTGGCAATGAATGTTTGAAGGTAGAACCAAATAAAAGAATAATTCAAGTTGTCTATGGCTTTCTGCTGCCTATCCACCCTCTTGTCCATAATACAAAAGCAGTGGGAGTGAGAAACAGCATACTTTCACCACCAGTCTTCCCTCTTAGACCCCCTCTGACTGGCCGTAGGACAAAGGGAAAACAGGCACAGTGGACATAAGACAAAGGCACAGTGGACAAGAAGTGGCTCCTGAGTAGCCTCAGCCTGAAGATGTTCTTATAGACACAAGGCCATGGCAGTGGAGGGGGGGGCAATCATTCATGTGAAGGGGACATTTGCAGAGAACCCAGCCCAGGAACTAACCACTTTAGTATTACACACCCTACTGCTCTTACTTTCCACGGGTAGGTTGTAAAATCTTGTGTACCAAATGTCATCACCATAAAACATGCAAGATTAAAAAAAAAAAGTTTTGCTTTGCACCAAACTGAAACTTTTTTTGTACTGCAGAGATATTACAGTGATTAAAAAATACAGAAAATTCCATTAGTTGGGCAGTGAAATAAAAACATTTAAGTAACAAACTAGAAGAATATTAAGGTTTGACCAAACCTCACAATGTTTTCACATGCTTCAGATTTAGTTCATAACTACATGTGGAAGTGTATTCAGTTAAAATTACCCATATGGATTATTTTAAAAAAATAAAGATTTTTAATACTAGTAAATCTGAATTTATGTACACACTTATATCCAATGGAAACTAGGGTACTCTATAGAACACTATCCCACTCCATCTTATATGATGTCATCAAGTGGATAGATATGTCTGCTTAACATAGAAACTTTTCAATACAAGTGTCTGAACTATATAACATGAATGACTGTAAAGATGTTTATCTCCAAACTGCTTCCTTCTCAGTATTTATTTACCTTTACATCTGCACGTTTTTTATTTGTGACTTCCATGACAATTTCACAGTGTTTTCCATTGGGTGGGTTCATTAGATGATTAAGAATATAAAGATCCAAGGTGGCACCCAGATTATTGATGTTAGACACAAAAATATACTCTTTGCCTTCTCCTATAAATGTGTCAAGCAAACCAGAATTGTAGAAACTGGCATAAATATCACCATGACCTGGGGAGTACCAAGCTTCTGTATTCTCCCCTGAGTAAGATACATCCTTTGCTACTGGCAGTAAAGATTCTTTATTAATCCTTGGGTACCTTAAAAAAAACAACAAAAAAACCCAGTTATTTTCAACATCAACTCTGGAGAGTATCTCAGACCTTCAAGTAAAACAATATACTTAAAATTAAGTAAAATTATTCTCCTTTTCAGTCTTTCAATAGTAAGTTACTTAGTCATATGTAAATCCATTTAAGAAAATCTCTCATTAACTATATTGCCAAAAGTCTGTTTTCTAGATAGTGGTATTTACTGCAAATGAGAGTTTTCCATGGTCATGTATATGGGAAAACACCTCATATTTTAAGATGTTAGTATGTTTTATGGCTCTGCAAGAAGAGGAATATATTAAGTAAATTTTCTCAGATTTATTTGGTTTGGGGTTTGGTTTTTCTCCCCTTAAAAACCTATTTAGGAAAAGGTGTGCATCCCTACAGATGGTGGTGCTCTTTCTTTCCCAAAAATCTAGCAGCAGGTTAATGCTCAGGGACATTTGCTGCCTATCACTCATGAGAACATGTGTAGGAGCACAGAAGAGCTAGCACAGAACAGGCTAAAGACCAACCAGAAAACAGAGGCAGAGCACCTACAGCATAAGAAAGTGCCCATGGAAAAATAGGTTTAAAAGAAAAATACAACTAGTGGTACAACTTCAGAACTAGCCCTCTATACGAGCTCATAAAGGTCATGTCTATTCTGACATGGAAGCCTTTTCTCCCAAGTCGCCTGAGCTTCATCACCATTCATCATCTGAATTCTACTTACACTCCTCTTCCCTAAAGTAAATGATTTTTCAGTATAATTTGTTGATTTTCCTCCAACTCTACTAAGAATGTTGAGATAACTTCCCATAGAAAAGAAGGTTATTAATGTTATAGCCTACAGGAGGATTTCAAAGACCCATATGGATTCCAAATATGCCCTTAGAAAGCCGGAACCTCAGCTATCCTCAATTATTCTGTATATGTAACAGAATTCCAAGCAGATTTTCTTTTTAAGAACTAGAAGTTACAGAATCACAGAATGATTATAACAATCACATATGTATTAACAAATGTTCAGCCTTTAAACACAAACATTAGATTTTGGCACATGCTGCTCTGTTTAACAAAACAAAGTTGTTCTTTCTCCCAGGAGTAACATGATCAAAGTTTTTTTACTCCTTGTACCTGCTTTGATTAAAAGTGTAGATTTTCACACGACAATGATTGTACTTTTGTAGTATTTTCTTTGTATCTTCATCCGTGTTGAAAGAGTTCATTAGAACAAGAGGAACATCTGCATTATAGGTTTTGTTCAAATGCTAGGGAGGAAATTGACAATCAGATTACCAAGACTTGTATATCTTTTACTTAAAAGTATAAGATTAACTCTTAATAGTTAATCATAAAATGTCCAAAACTTCATCTACATAAAGCAAAAAATACAGATTTGAAATAAATAAATTAGCATAAACAGACATTCTTCTAAGCAATTCACCATGCACTTGCTCATTAAATCACAACTCTACAAGAGAGAGATTGTTATTATCTGCATTTTACAGATGGCTAATCTGAGGTCCAGTGGCAGAGCTGAGAAGCCCCTGCCCCCATCCCACAGCCTGACTTGGGAGTTATGTGCCCAGTCATAATAACCCTTGGTGGGTCCTTTCTGGGTGACAAGTGCTGCCTAAGCATTTACTCTGTGTCCAGAGGAATGCGGAGATGCAAATAGAAATGTCATAAAGACAAGGCTCTCTATTCTCAGGATTAATGTCAAAAACTGCAATCAGAACCCAAGTAAAATCTTAAACAATCAATAGGAAGAGCTATGACGCAACACAGAGTGGGAACAAAACAAGATCACAGAAGACAGAATGGACTATGTTCAAAGTATGATGCTGTACCAACTAGCTAAGGGACCTTGGGTAAGTAACTCAACCTCTTTATACTTTGGTTTCTCAGTTATATATAACGGAGAAGATAAAAGTACTTATAGAGTTGTTGCCAGAAACAAATGAGTCAACTCATGTAAAAAGCTCAGAGTAATACTTGGTGTACAGGACTGCTGGATAAAGTTAAGTATTATTGTTGTGACTGTCAGTACTGTATTAGACACCAGAAATAAAGGATGAAAAAGGGCCAAATTTGCCCTATAGTTTTCTTAGTGATTATTCTGTTTATATTCTTTGGGAAAGACTAAAATAATCTATTGTCATTTTTTCAAAATTAACTTGTAGGGGCCTCCCTGGTGGTGCAGGCAGTTGAGAGCAGTGCTGTGATGCTGTCCACAGCCACTGCAGTGCCGGTTGGATCCCCACCGGCCTCGGAGCAACCCACATGGCGAGCAGACCTCTCCTGTCTCGCCCGCTACTCCCCTCAGCAGTGTGTTTCAGTCAGTCTGCCTGTTCTGTTCCCCGCTCTGTCTCTGGTGAGTCCTCCATGCTCCTGCACGTCTGGCCTGTACCCCAGTTCTTGTATAAATAAATAAATCTTTAAAAAAATTAACTTGTAAATACAAAAAGAAAGAAAAGAAAAAGACAGGGCCACTGCTCCTGAAGAGTTTATGATCTTTCATTATTGATTTCATCGTAAGGGAAAAGACAAGAACAGTTCTTAGTATCCACACATACAACCAGGTATATTTAATTCTCACTAGCCTCTCAAAAGGGGTTGATAAGACTAGATCATCCCAACTGTGATGAAGGCTGCCACTAAAAAGAAAGGAAGGCGGAGTGGTTGGGACAAAGAAGAATCCAAATATATCCAGAGATATTAGCAACTACAAATGTCATTTAAAGATCAGAAACTTTAACATAACCCAAGGATTTACCCTTAGGAACAGCAAACTTTTTTAATATTTTATGTACTAAAAAACTAAAGACAGTTGATTGGTTTAAATCCACATCTGTTATTTTATAAGGTAACATTTTTAATAACCTATAAACAAAGTGTTGAGAAAAACTAAATGTTACTCACTTCAATTTGCTGAACAGTCAGATCCAAAAAGGTATTCTCATTCCTCACACCAATCATACTTTTGGGACCTTTGCATCCCATGCTGGTTCCCAAACCACCATTGAGTTTCACCACTACCAGCTTGTTCAATACAGAAGATATATTATCAGGTAGGCCCCTGGCCTTTATCTTTTCATAGGGCTGAATCTGAAATTAAAAAAAAAGGATGTAAGTAATTTAAAAAGCTTTGTGAGAAGTTAAATCAATCCTAGGATTATTTCCAAGCTTCCTTAAAGAGTTATGGTTTCTCTGTGGAAAGTTTCAACTGCAATTCCTTTAATGTATGGGCCCCTTTGGTTCAAAATCAAGTACATATAGGCAATTTCCCTTGTACACGGAAGTAATTCAGTGATTCATTTATACTACAATGGAGTACAAGACAGGGTTAAGTTACAGCTACAAATATTTGACTGGCTGATGAGAATACCTAATTTCTTATATTACCTTCAATAATTACAAATTCCCAATTCGCGCCAACAAATAGGATACATAAAATTCAGTCTGTATGTATTAGTGGAGCACTGTGGACCTACTTCACTTCTGGAAAAGCATCTATATGACCACACATTATCCCTTCTGAAGAAGGCAAAAACCAAAACTAAAATGCTCCTTACCATTCTCCATTCAGTTATAAATTTGCTTTCAGAGGAAGGTGGCCTTAGGGTGTAGGGTTTTTGTCATACTTCTAGGTAGAAAAAGGGAGAGAATTCCTTCCTTAAGAATTTAACTGCTGGGCACCATTGTACAAAAGATTACATTTGGAAAATAAAGTGTCTCATTGTTCCAACAAATGTCCTGGTAGGGAGGGAGAGGGCGGGAGCTAGGGCTTGAGAAGAGCCTACTCAGTCTCTTCCCTGTATCCCCCTCATCATTTTCCATGAGCACAGAGCCTTCTCCCGCGAAGGAGGAGAACACTGACACAGTGGAAGCCCACATTGTTTTGTTCAAAGCAGAGGGACAAGCAAGTCTAAACATCTCATAGCAAAAAGGAAGGCATTTAAAAAAGATTACGTTATACTTTCTACTTATAAGTGTGTGTGATGGATGAACTCTATTTGGGAAAGGAGCTGATGGGGTCACACTATAGGGATTAGGCTGCAGAGACAAAATTCCCTTTGTACTTGATCAGACAGACATACATAAGAGTCGTGTGCAGATCCCTCACCACACAATTCTTGTTGTTAACAGCTCTACCACGGAAAACTAGTCGGATTCTTATATCTCCTATTCTACAATACACTACATGAACTGCCAAGCACAGATGCTGACATTTTCTTCCTTGGTGTTAGTACTGAGAAACATGAAGCACTCTTCTCCAACGTTCTCCAGTTAACACTCATTCCAGTTATTCCTTAATGTGGTAGCACTGACAATCTTCCTAGTAAGAAACTCTCAGTGTAGTCATGCATGTTTGAAAGAAGGACTGGTGATAGAAAAAGACTGGAGTAGGGGCCAAGCCTGTGAGCAACATGGCCCTCCAGAAGGTACTACTGTACTGGGATGCTACTGTAACAGAGGAATTGCCATTAAAAGGGGAAGTTCCAGGTTTCCTTCCCACCTAAAGAAGGGCAGGGCTGAATGGCCAGGGGCAGCTATAGAAAACCTGAAGGGGCGACAGAGGCTAGAAACACATGGCGCAGAGAGAGATGTGAAGGAGGGTGTGCTTGCTTCTCAGCTTTGGATTTGTACCAGGGACTTGGGGGACATGGAAGGAAACATATGGAATAGAAATATGGAAAGACAATTGGAAGGGATGTGGGTGAGAGAGGCAGGGAGACTGACAATAGCAGCTGTTATCTTGATTTGTACTTTGATTTTGCTTTTTTGTCCCAGGCTTGCCTGGCCCCTTCTGCCCCTTTCTCTGCCAGAAGGTACCAAAGATTTGTGACCCTGCTCCAGGCCAACCCTGTCTGATTGAGCATTTACACATGAGAGGATATACATCTACCAAAGGGGATATACAGAAGACCACCTGAGATGTGGAAAATGTTCATCATCACTTTTAGGAAGGGGGTAGTTTTCAAAACCGCAATGAGATACCATCTCACAACTGTGAGACTGGCATGCATTAAAAAAGACTTCATGGGCCTCCCCGGTGGCGCTGCGGTTGAGCGCTGGGTTGTGCAGCTGCCCGCAGCCTCTGCAGCGCCAGTTCCATCCCTGGCTGCTCCCCGGCCACCGGAGGAGGGTCCCACATGGTGCGCAGACCTCTCCTGCCGCCCGCTGCTCCCCTCAGCAGTGTACTTCGGTCCTTCTGCCTGCTCTGCTCCCCGCTCTGGCTCTGGTGAATTCTCTCACCCTCCCGCGCTTCTGACTGTACCCAGTGCATGTATAAACAAACAAACAAATAAACAAATAAATAAATAAATAAAATATGTACCTCTTTGAAAGGAAAAAAAAGTTAAAAAAAAAAGACTTCATTAACAAGTGCTGGAGAGGAGTGGAGAAAGAGGAACCCTGATGCACTGCTGATGGAAATGTAAACTCGTGCAGCCATTGTGGAAAGCGATCTGGACCTACCTTAAAAAAAAAAAAAACAAAAAACCCTGAAAACGATACACCATATGATGCGGTAATCTCATTTTTGGGTCTCTATCTGAAGAATATGAATCCATCAATTCCAAAAGTTTTATGCCCCACATGTTTATTGCAGCATTATTTACAATAGCTAGGATTCTAAAACAACCTAAGAGTCTATGATGGAGGATTAAAGATGTGGTATAGCCACATAATGAATATTACATTTATATCAAAATGGAAGGAATTTGAGGGAATTATGTGCAGCAAAGCAGGTCAGAAAGATAAAGACAAATAGTAGACAATTCCACACATTGGGCAAAATGAGGGATCAAAGCAAATGCTGACAGAGCAAAATAATTACAAACTAACATTGATATAACCAAAGCGAAGTTTCTGATATTAAGAGGGAAGGGGCTTGGGAAAAGGGTCAAAGGGGTAGATGGTATGAGAAAAATTGTGTGTGTGTGTGTGTGTGTGTGTGTGTGTGTGTGTAAGAACTGGGATGTAGGGCCTCCCTAGTGGTGCAGGGGTTAAAGACACAGCACCATCAAACTACTGGCAGCCACTGCAGCACGAGTTTGATCCCCTGGCGGCCAGGGAGCTACCCACATGGCACAGCAGACCTCTCCTGCCTTGCCCACCTACTGCTCCCCTCAGCAGTGTATTTCAGTAGATTTGCCTGTTCTGCTTCCCACTCTGTCTCTGGTGAATCCTCTCACCCCCTGCACCTCTGGCCTACACCCCAGTTTTTGTACAACCCTTAACTTTGAATTAAAAGATGAAATGCAACTAGGAGCACAAGAAAGAGAAGTATTGATGATATTGACAGGATTTAGCAGTTAGGAGGATGTTGATGACCTGGTTAAGTGTAATTCATTGAATGATAGAGAAAAACAGATTGTAATGGGTGATGCTTGAAAATAGGAAGTGAGAAAGTAGAGGTGAAACTAACAAATTTTTAAAGTTTTGCTGCTAATAGGTGGGGAAAAAAAGGAATTGGGTATAGGAAGGGATAAGTGTGTGTTGCTATTTTCTTGTTTTGTTGGCACATATTTGAATGTGTCATGTTAATGGAAAGGAATAGAGAGAAAGGGGGAGGCTGATAATGAGACTGGATGATTGATGAAGTAGGGTTCTTGAAAGGGGCACTGATAGAGCAATTGCCTTGAGGTGGGGGATAGCTCTTTTTGTAATCAAAAAGAAGGAGAACAAACAGATGGAGATGCAGGGAAGTGGGAGGAAGTTGAGGACATTCTCATATATGACAACTTTTATTTGCTCTATGAAAGGGGTGTTTAATTGAAGGCATGTTGGTGAGCTTGGTGGATCATGTGATAATATACATAATTTGTCAGCTTTTCCTTAATGAAAAAAGTACCTCTGGTTTAGATATGACTTTTCTGTCATTGAATCTGTAAGAGCTTTCATATGATCCAGGTTTGCAAAATGAGTCAATATATGAAAGTGCCTAGCACAAAACTTGGCACACAGACACTATGTAACAAGGACTTAGTGAATAAGCCTGTGTTCTTGGAACACTTCCTGTACATATGGCATGTCATAAACCCGTTTTACTGTTTACACAGTTTATTTTCTTTCAGGCAAACTTGCTTGTGTTGGGGGAAGAAAAAGAAACAAATTTCAGATTTCAATAATCATACCCTTGTGAACCATAACAGGGCAGGTACTGTTAACTTGTTTTGGGTATTTGGCACTGTTTCCAGAAATAGCACAAATATGCTACCAAGAACTGGGTTAAACTCTTGCTAGTGAGAACAGTGTGTCCATGGCTGTGTGATGAATTCAGCTTTTCTTCTAACTGGAAACTAAGTTGTGAACAGACTTGGCAAGAATGCAGATCATGGTAGACAGATTTTAAAAGATATTTTAAAAAAAAATCTCATAGTTTCTGCAGAAAATCTAGGTTGACATCCCAGTGGGCAGAATATTGTTTAAATTATGTTCTTTAGTAGATTGCTAGCTACTTTCTTTTGTCATTCCCAGAGGAAATTGGGTCTTTGACCAACTCTTTTCTTCTAGTGAGAAGAGAAAACGTATGGAGTGGTCTAGCTTCCCCTGAACATTTTGCAGGAACCTCATGGGTCTTGACTCACCTTATCTGTAACTATAAACTTGCCCTACTGTATATTTAGTTGCAGTGGTTTTTCTCAAACACTGAATTCTATTCATGCCTGGGAGAAAGAGAAACAGGGTGATTAGGATCGAAAGCACAAAGATTGAGCTAATGACTGACTAAAGTGATTCAGTCAGAGTACCACGGAGGCTGTGACTGGCAGTGCATGGTATTCTCTGGTGTCTCTGAACATCACCCGTCCTTGCTTGAGTGATATCTTTGTGCATTTTCCTGGGAGAAATGCGAAGGGAAAAGTGGAAGGCAGATCTAAAAATGTCTTTGTGACTAGGTATGTCTGGTGTGGCTTCTGTTGCCAAATAACTTTTTAACACAGATATCACGTTGACTTGTGGAACTAAACTGAGCTCTGGGGATTGCTTGGGGGACCTCTGGTGGAGGTCAGCACAGCATCACCAACAAAGAGAACTTTTTTGGGCATATAGGGTGATTTATGTGATGGAAAGCTGTGTTGGCTACCAGATTTAACCTATAATAAGCTTTGCACAGGAAGTTCCTTGGCTTCCTGAAATTGAACCATTGGTACCTCTATCTTACTTTGCATATGTGTATGTGTGGGTGGATATAAGTCATGAAACACAAATGAAAGACCTCCAGTGGTGGCTTCTAACAGCACCACTAATCTGATAACTCTGGACATTTTCCCTCTCTTCACACTTCGTTTCTTCCTACCTGTAACTCTTCTTCCCTCTCTGTCCATAGTTCTCTCAGAGCCCTTTTATTGTTAATAGTCAAATAGTCAACACACATTAGCTACATGTTGATTTACATTAATATTGAATAGAAACTTGTGTTCCTCATTTACTTTAGCCACATTTAAAGTGCTCAATCAGTAGCCACATGTGGCCAGTAAAAATTATAGGACATTTCTATAACTGCAGAAAATTTTACTGGACAGTACTGTGTCTAGAGAGTGACTGGAAAAATTGCCATCCTGTTGATCTTTTCACTATATACTTAAATATGAAGAAATATTTTTTACATTGTTTTCAGTTTTGTAAAGTTTTTTTTTTCCTTGACACAATGGTTAGCCCATCAGGGAGGTACTAGT